CTTTTATAAAATCCGGAAATGCTAATACTGGCTCCTCTTGCAGCCTCGCCATGCATTTTCGAATGTTGTCTTCCATTATGGGGGTTACTATCACCTTGCTGCCTTTCTTTAATAAATTGTTGAGGGGTACGAGGTATTCCGCCATTTCGGGCACAAATCGTCGATAATAATTAAGGGTTCCCAGCAATCTGCGGATCCCTTTTACATCCCGAGGTATTGCCATCTTCTTAATCGCCTCCACTTTCCGCGCGTCAGGTTTGACTCCTTCACTTGATATCGTGTGTCCTAAAAAATTTATGTGGTCCTGTCCTAACAAACATTTCTCGCTGGACAGTTTCAGCCCAAATTGTCTGACTCTCTCAAATACCCTACGTAGATGCTCCACATGTTCCGCCTCGTTTTTACTAAAAACCAACAGGTCGTCCATGTAAATTTGGCACATCCCTTCGTCAATTCCCCTTAGGAACTCGTCCATTAACAGCTGGAATGTTATAGGGGCATTCTTGAGACCAAATGGCATTCTCGAAAAATTCGTAATGCCCCCTCTCGAACGTGAATGCTGTCTTCAACTGATCTTCCGGAAGCATCCTAATCTGATGATATCCCGCTTTCAAGTCAAGAGTACTGAATACCATTGCCCCGCTTAACCGATCTAAAATGTCCTCAAACTTCGGGATTGGGTATTTTTCATCCACCGTATTCTCATTAAGTTTGCGGTAATCGATTACCACACGGTATTTCTCCTTATCCTCTCCGGGCACGCTTTTCTTCTTAACTGCCCATAGCGGGCTATTATATGGCGACGTGCTATCTACAATTATCCCCTGCTCCTTTAGACTCTCCAACTCTTCCCTAATGTATTGGCGAAGGGCCTGCGGATACCTCCTCTCTTTCACGTAGCTCACCTTTTCGTGCTTCAGCGGGATCTCGTGCACTGTTTTGCCCATCACCCCCAACGTATCTCCCTCCTTGAAGAAGATGTCTTCGAATTCCCTTCCCACGACTACTCTCCAATCCTCCGCCCTACTTATAGCTCCCACACTTGCTCTCCGGTCCTCATGCCCCTCTATTGCCATCGTACTCGTATATCTGATTCTCCCCATCCTTATTTTCCACTCCTCCCTTCTATATGCGATTCGCATGCCCACCTTCCCCAACATGTCACATCCTATAATTACCTGGTATTCCCGCGGCATTTCTCCCACTACATGCACCGTAAGTTTACCTCCCTTGGCTGCCCACCTCCTCAAACCTATCTCCACTTCCCCTTCTACTCCACACGGGCCACCCAGGGTGATTAGCTTACAATTACATACCTTGACTTGGAGTGTCCTCTCTCCATCGTACAGCTTCTCCAACACTCCATGCGTCATGATGCTATTGGAACTCCCGGTATCTACCAGGCATCGCACTCCTCCCACCTCTATTATAGGTAACCAGCAGCTTTTACCTCTGATATTATAACTTACTAGCGTGCGGTCACCCCTCGCCTCTCCTCAGATCCTCTCCACGGTTTGCCGGCGTCCACTCCTCCCGCTGCTTCTTCCTTGACTCCTCTCGTTCTCCCGGCCTGCTGGGTGCTCTATCTCTTCTTCTGTCTCTGTGGTCATGGATTCTTCCGACGAGTCTCTTGATGACTCACTCCTCCTTGCGTGTATCTTTCTTCTCCTCAATTCCTGGGCATTTATCTCCATCGGCTCAACCCTTTGTGAGCCTCTTCTGGAATATATGTACGGACATTGCCTCGCTATGTGTCCCTCAGTCCCGCACTCAAAACATTTCGTGCGGGGACACTGCGCCACCAGGTGTCCGCTCTTTCCGCAACCGTGGCATTTCCTGTCCTCTCTCCATTGGCTACCCCTTGCTCTACCTTGTCCTGGTCTTCGTTCAACTCCGGTGGTCTTTTCTCTCCCGTTGTATGTGGGCTCTCTCCTTCTCCAGGTCGTTGGTGAACTTCTAGGTCTCCTATAGATCACTCTGTTCCATCCTGGTTCCTCCCCCTCTAACCAGGCTTCTTCATCTCGAGCACTGGAATCTACCATTTCTTGGGCGCTTCAATAAACGAACGTTCCCGGGGTAAGCCATCTTTCTTTCCAGTTTCTTTCGCCAGTTGCACCTTCAGTATGGTGGACAAAAAGGCCATCTTCGCTTCGACCTCCGGAGCTCCAGCTGTCTCCCGCATCTTCTCGGTGATCCGGTTGTAGTGAGCTAAGAGTGTTGCCGCATACTGTCCGTTGGACTGCCGTGAAGACTTCACCTCGCGGAACATCTGATAGATGTCTTCTTCTGTAGTCTATCTGCCACCGCCGTAGGCTTTCTTCAGTCCCTCCTTGACCGTTTCCCACGGCGTCTCTTCATCTGCCTGGATGTGGTTCAGGATACTCCGTTTTACCCTGCACACCAGAGCCGCCTTAAGGGCCTCCGCATTCCCAGCGTTGACGAGGTTCTCATCAATCTTTGCATTTATTCTAGCCACGAGTCGATCTCCACCCTTTAAAAAATGATTGAGCTCACCTATTTCTCTAGTGAAGCGCTCGAGATCGGATATAGCCTCCCTGAGGTCCTGTGAAGTGGCTACCCGGATTTTCATCCATTCTATCGCATTTGCATGCGCCGCGGCAAAGGTTCCCTGCGGTAACGGAGGGATCTCTGGCACATTCATGGGAGCCGGCTGTCTTAAGTTAAATTCAGGCATGCTCGTAACGGTTCTCCTCTGGTTTAAAAAAACGTACCTCTGCACTCTCACCGTCCCGGGTTTCGGCACCAGTTAAACGTTGCGGACTTTAAACACTTAAAAAAAAGAGTAAAGGTTCAACAAATAACACGCATGAAGTCAGAAACAAGACTGCTTTATTCCTCCTTATAATCCTCTATATATACATTCTAAGTTGTTTACATAAATGCTTTTGGTATTAAAGCTAATACTGTCCCGCTCCATACCTTAACTTTATATATATATATATTTTTTTTGTTTTATTTTTTTATTTTTTATTTATTATTATTTTATGTATATGTGTATGTGTTTATATATATATATATATATATATATATATGTATATATATATATAAACACATACACATATACATAAAATAATAATAAATAAAAAATAAAAAAATAAAACAAAAAAAATATATGAAAGGAAAAGAAGTAAAAGAAAGTATAAATGGAAGTGAGAAGATTAGATAGAGGTTTATGATCGAGACTTTTTTAAAATGTTGATAATTTGGGAGTAGGCGAGTGATAGATTTTGCTTGTCGTTTTTTAAGTTAAGTGGTTTGTAGTCTAATTGAATGAAAACACTTTCCGTAAGTAGTCTAGTATAAGTAGTACCAATTATCTAATATTTAAATACAATATTCTTATATATATATATACAACTAAATATAATTATAATTATTCATATTTTATATATATATATATATATATATATATATATATATATATATATAAACACATACACATATACATAAAATAATAATAAATAAAAAATAAAAAAATAAAACAAAAAAAATATATGAAAGGAAAAGAAGTAAAAGAAAGTATAAATGGAAGTGAGAAGATTAGATAGAGGTTTATGATCGAGACTTTTTTAAAATGTTGATAATTTGGGAGTAGGCGAGTGATAGATTTTGCTTGTCGTTTTTTAAGTTAAGTGGTTTGTAGTCTAATTGAATGAAAACACTTTCCGTAAGTAGTCTAGTATAAGTAGTACCAATTATCTAATATTTAAATACAATATTCTTATATATATATATACAACTAAATATAATTATAATTATTCATATTTTATATATATATATATATATATATATATATATATATATATATATAAACACATACACATATACATAAAATAATAATAAATAAAAAATAAAAAAATAAAACAAAAAAAATATATGAAAGGAAAAGAAGTAAAAGAAAGTATAAATGGAAGTGAGAAGATTAGATAGAGGTTTATGATCGAGACTTTTTTAAAATGTTGATAATTTGGGAGTAGGCGAGTGATAGATTTTGCTTGTCGGTTTTTAAGTTAAGTGGTTTGTAGTCTAATTGAATGAAAACACTTTCCGTAAGTAGTCTAGTATAAGTAGTACCAATTATCTAATATTTAAATACAATATTCTTATATATATATACAACTAAATATAATTATAATTATTCATATTTTTTTCCCCTCTCTATACTTCTAAGTTAGTTCTGAATGTATGGTCTCTTATTTCTATATTTATATTTTACTTCTATGTACATTTTACTTCTTCCATTTTTGTTTTTATTCACACCTGCAAGTCTCTCTTTTTATTCTTCTAGTTTTATTTACTTATTTTTTGGTTTTATTTTATTTTTCTTTCTCCTCATTCCTTTATGTCTATTATTTCATATTATATCATTTTTCCTTTTCTTTCAATCTCTCCTGTAGATCTGTAGAAGTATATTGAAATTTGCATATATTATATATTACACTACAACATTTGTTACCATCTATTTACTTCAGTTTAGGATTTTGTTACTTAGCTTACTCTGTTTATATTTTAATGCACTTACTGTTTATAATTTTAATAAGCTAATTCACATTGTTTGTCATAATATTATGTAACTTCCACAATTCTCTATCTTTTTGTATCTTGTTTGTTCTAGCCCTGAAGAAGACTTGCAAAGTCGGGTCGAAACGTTGGCTTTTAATAAAATAGTTTTGCCACTATTCAGCCTATTTATGATCACCACATCGGACCATCTCCTTCCTTTATGAATAAATACGTTTCCCTAATTATATCTTCGAAATACTTCAAGTGAATTAGGAAAAAAGATAAATATTTAAGGTGAGCGTTCTTGCACAGTTATACTAGAGTAATTAACTAAACATATTTTTGAAATATCATTATACTTTACGCTAAGCAATTGTTCCTTTTAACTAAAATTCACATCCAATTAACTAAGTTATTAAAGTAAATTCGATCTAAAATCGTATCTTTAAAATATACACACATAATACTAAACTTACCTTCGAAGAAGATAGAATTTGTATTGCTGTTTCATCTTCCAAAATATTACCCTCAGAAGATGAAAGAACTTCCAGAATTTTATCTTCTATCTCTTTTAATAGTTTCTTGTTATTGGCACTTTCAATAATGAGCTCATTCTTTTTCTCTTCCAGTTCAGGTCTTTCTTCTGCTACAACTATACCCAATAACTGGTCCTGTAGTCCTTGTGGAGTTATCATGAAATTTAAAAGAGTAACCTATTAACAAGCAAATATTAATAATAAGTTAATTTTAATTAACTAAATAACTAATTTTAACTAAATAATTAAGTTAATTTAAAGCATGAAGTTGCTCTGGATGTTATATAACTTAATTTATTATAACTTGAATTAGAACCTGACGATGGAGCACATTAGATTTAAACCATTCATCAACAAAAAATCATTGGGAATGTAGTTCTGAAGATGGGAGTAAATATCCCGAAATGTTAACATTTAAAAATGTAATTTGTAAATACAACAAATAAATTCAATTGTTGTTAATTGGAAGTCATCATAGCCAAATAACAAAGAATAATATACAACTTCCCAGAAAAAAGAAGTTTATTTTTCATTTAATTTGTACTTTCATCGATTACATTTTTTAATTCATTAAAGCCGGCTAGGCTAGTGATTGATTTAAGATCGATTGAATTCCAGTTACTTCTGCATTAGCACCGTCATTTATTTTAATTGGTTTGTCGGCTAATTGGACCTGCGCAATACTTTCGTAATCTTTAACTACTGATGTTTCCTCCATTAAAATAACTTTTGACCCCTCTAGAATTTCCAACATTTTTTTGCCTCACTATTAAATGAAAATTTATTTAATATAACAGTAGTGAAAAAATAAACAGGATTGTATGTTTAGTTGTCACCATGGATTGTAGCCACGCTAGTTGGGCACCATGTTGTTAGCTTACGTTTCTGTTGAAAAGTAAACAAACAGTTTCTGAACCAAATTATATTTTTTTATACAATTATTTTAAATTATTTCTCAGGTTGGATTAAGACAACAAACACCCATTCCTCAATTGTATAATATAAAATCATACTTTGTCTTTCTCCATCTTTTTGTACATTTTTGACGTCACTGCTTTCATGCCACTATTTAAAATCACTATCGCAAATAATACAATATATTGTAATATTTGTTAAAAATACTTATCTCTTTTTCTCACTTGATGTCTACTTTCTCAATGTTATCTAATTTCTCTGTCTGTCTACAACTGTCGGTATTGCCTCTGACTCTAAATTATCTCTCTTATCATATCCGTTCACTCCTATTGTAATAAACATAATTGCCTAAAAACACATTCTATTTATAAATATAAAAAATTATGATTTTTAACGAATTTTTCATATAAAGTGGTTATGAAAATGTGTTTTTCTCCCAGATCTTTGTCAAAGGAATTGATATGTATTTATCAGTGACAAACTCAATGTTTCATATCACAATTTATGTTTAAAATAAAAAAACCTACTAATGAAAACATAAATATTAGGGGTAGAAACAATAGGTTTGTCACTTTTAAATACGCATCAATTCTTATGACAGAAACCTGGGAGAAAAACACAATTTAATAAACATCTTATATGAAAAATATTCGAAAATCATTATTTTAAAATTTTTTATTTGTATAGATAAAATGTGTTTTTAGCAGTGTTGGGCATTATTTAAATAAATTATTTGAAATTTTATCTAGATAACGAATAATAGATAAATTTTTATCCGTTATTTCTTATTCGACGATCTATGAACAGATGATTATTTGTTATTTGTTATTTACAAATAATACGCATTATCTGTTATCTATTAATCGTTATTTAAGATGAAAATACGATTCGAATAATTTTTTTTGCAATTTTAGGATTTCTTCGAAATTTAAGTCTGTTAATATGTTTTACGGGGCCCTTTTTATGAAAAAAAAACTGTCAGATTTGAGATAGAACCCCCTCCCCCCAACCGAATATTTGTATCTTTTCGGATTTAATTGATATGAGGCTCGACTATTATGTTTTGGGAGGCCCTTTTTATAAAAATGCTGTCGGTTTTGAGATAGCGCTTCCCCCTCCCTTCGAACCGACTTTTGTAACTTTTCAGGTTTAATTGATATGAGTGTCGACTATTATGTTTTGGGGGGCAGTTTTTATGAAAAAAACTGTCGTATTTGAGATAGCGCTCCCTTCCCCCGCAACGAAGTTTTGTAACTTTTTGGATTTAATTCATATAAGGGTCGTCTATTGAGTTTTGAGGTATGTTTTTTTTAAAAATACTTTCGGAAAGCTCCCGCAGGCACCGACTTTTTGTAACTCTTCGGGTTTTAAATTGCGCCCCTTCTCCTATCGACTTTTCTTAAATCCAACAATATTTTCATAGAAAGCACCCTCTAAAACATAACGGTTGACACACATATCAATTAAATCTGAATAGTTACAAAAGTCGTTTTGGAGGGGGGGGGAGGCGCAATTACAAATCTGACAGTATTTTCATAAAAAGGGCCCCCCAAAACATAATAGTCGACCCTCATATCAATTAAATCTGAATAGTTACAAAAAGTCAGTTCGGAGGGGGGGGGGCGGTATCTCAAATCCGACAGAATTTTCATAAAAAGGGCCTCCCAAAACATAATAGTCGACCCTTATATCAATTAAATCTGAATAGTTACAAAAAGTCGTTTCGGAGGAGGGGGGGCGTTATCTCAAATCCGACAGTATTTTCATAAAAAGGGCCCCCCAAAACATATTAGTCGACCCTCATATCAATTAAATCTGAATAGTTACAAAAAGTCAGTTCGGAGGGGGGGGGGCGCTATCTCAAATCCGACAGAATTTTCATAAAAAGGGCCCCTCAAAACATAAAAGTCGACCCTCATATCAATTAAATCTGAATAGTTACAAAAAGTCGGTTCGGGGGGAGGGGGAGAAAGGCGCTATCTTAAATCCGACAGAATTTTCATAAAAACCCTGATATGGAAGAAATCCTAAAAACTCAAAAAAGTCGCAATGCAGTGGTGTAATCTTAAAATGGAGATAATTTTCAAAAACTATGGATCTGAAAATATACACATTGGCCCGTATATAGAAGAAAATAAAATTAGCGTTAAATTATTCGAAATTTATTTGAAAAACGTAGAATAACAAATAAAAAGATAACAGATAACTTGAATTTATTTATTATCTAGATAAAAGATATACACAATTATTCGTTATTTGTAGTTGAAAAGTTCGAATAAATTATTCGTTATCTATTATCTTTTATCTAAGATAAATTTTGCCCAACACTGGTTTTTAGGCAATTATGTTTATTACAACACATACCATATTCGGAAAAAACAATATTAAAAGGTTTGCAACAGTTAATTTTAGTCACTTGTGCAGAAAACATGGGTACTTTTAGGTGACTGTATAGGAAATCACAATTTTGGTAAACAACTTGCGGTGAATCTCAAATTTTTTGTTCCAATAAACCACAATTTAATAAATATGGGCTTGAAGCTTATTAAACGAGTAATAAGTTTTTCTAAAGTGGAGTAAATGTAGTACAGTTGAAGGATGATAAAAACAATTCACAATTAATTTCTGACTTTTTATTTAACAAAACTTAGCTGTATTTGTCCACTCAAAAATCACCTTTAAATAGTTTTAACAATGACAAACTCTACTTTTGTTTAAAGTAAATTTTGTCTAGTTTAATATGGAGCAATGTTTGATTACTTAAATTAAAATTTTTTTAAGTTATCGCTTCCTATTAAACAAAAAACCTGACTTGCTTAAAAAACACAAATCTTAAATTTCCTTCTTTTCTGCTGGAAATTGGGTAATTGTTTAAATGAACTTTTTTGTAGCTCTTGATGTCTGCTATCTATCAATCTTTTAAATATTTCCCTCTACTTACGGGACACCCTGTATAGGTAAGGGAAAGTATAAAAGAAAAAGGTTACCAAATGAATTAAGATATTCATTCACTAATTGACTTTTTATTTAATCTATAAATTAATTAACAATTATCTTCATTTTATTTACATTAATTATTATTTTCATTCATCAAGTGTCCAGGTTTATTAGGGCGCTTCAAACACTGTCCCTATATAATTTGCACTCACCCTTTTTTTTTTGCAGTGAATTTAACTAAATTTCTTCTGGAATGTTTCCATGGCTTCAACAGGCACAACAGTTTCAAATCCTTCCTTTCAAATCGGTCCCAGTATGTTGTAGTAGTCCAAGGCCAACCTTCATCTAAGAGACTTCCCCTCTCCTGTGGTGTCCCTCAAGGTTCCTCTCTATCTCCTACTCTGTTCGCTATTTACATTAATGACCTACCCCTCATGATCCATCACTCCCAATACCATATCTATACAGATGATTTCCAAATATACCTGTCCTTCCCGCCCTAGGACCTATTATTTTCCACAGAGAAACTACAAGAAGACTTGGATAGGATTTGTGACTGGGCGAGAACTAACAAGTTGAAGTTGAATGTGGGAAAGACGAAGGCAATCTTAATAAGGCTCCAATTAACTCCTTAAAACTGTTCCTATTATTCCAACTCTGTTCCTACATGATAATCCCATCAAATTTTACCCCACCATCAAAAACCTTGGAATAACATTCCATCAAACACTTTCCTGGAAAAACCATGTATCCAATATTTCCCATCATACCATTTTCACTCTAAAACATCTAAACTATTCTCGTCACCTATTTCCATTTGAAACCTGTATGCTCCTAGTCACTTCTTTAATTTTCCCCCACTTTGACTATTGCTGTTACTATCTCGGGGCGAAACTAAAACGTTTAATAAATTGCTTTGTGCTATTCATCTTCGGGATACCAAGAGACGCCTCTGTTTCCCATTTTTATGTAGGGTTGAAGTGGCTTTATCCTTCCTACCGTCGTAAATATTTCCTGTCATCCTTCCTCTTTCAAGTTATCCAATCACACCGTCCTTCACACATCTCTGAGCTCCTTCAATTAAAATCCTCTGTTCGTTCCCGGTCTTCTGGCTTATACATAAGGGCCCACCGAACAGCTGCTTTCAACAGATCTTTCATTATCCGATCTTCATCCCTTTGAAACTCCATCCCTTCTCACATTCGACAATCTAATACCCTTCCCACCTTTAAATCTCACCTGTTCAATCATTTCTTATCCATCCAGTCCCCATGAAATTATAAATAGATACTAATGTAAATATGTATATAAATTATTAGCTCGTTCTTCATTATTTTTACTTCATCCTTTTTTTTTTTTAATTTTATTACTATGACTGTTTAATTACTCTGTATCTTTATGTATGTATCTCTGAGGCTCCTTAGCTCATATTTATGTCTTTCTGTATTATTCTAAAGGGACTCGTCCCAGAATAAATAAAGTATTATTATTGCTGCATCAATCTAGCTCATTCCTCACTCCAAATGAAAACATCTATCACAAGTGGCTTCTCTCAACTATTGCACTTGTCTGTCTTCATCTAGATCTTCACTCCTCACTGGCCTGTTACTGTCCAAGCACATGGATCTTGTTCTCCCTTCCATTTGTATTCCTCTGCCTCATGCTTCATTCCTTGAAAGTAGTTCCTGACATCACTATTTTCGCGCCACTATTTAAACCAGTCCACTCTATTTACCCATTAATTACAATTATTAATGTTTACATTACAATATACATGTACATAGTTATTTATTCTGTTTCATTGCCTGTAGATCGACATCTGGGCCAGAAGACCCTCTTGGAGCACGCCCAGCCTCTATATAATAGGTAATCTTAATTAATTAACTAGGAGGGAAAGCCTAATGGTTGAAGTGTGATCTCTTTCAAATCATCTCCTTTTTGACCAAGAAACAGTACTTCTTTACATAGTACTGAACCCAAGACATGGGTTGTAGTGGTACAGGTTTTTCTTTTTTTAATATATTATAGTAGAGGCTTTTTAAATCGTGATTTGAGAAACTGTTTAAAGACTTAACTTTCATATTTTGGGTATTTCAGTAATCCAACTTTTTATAAAAGTGAATATATACATGCACTAATAGAATATGTACACATTTTATGAAATTTTAACTTAAATACAACACTACTGTATCATAAACCATAAAAAGATAAAAGGTGCAATGTATGCAAATTTATTAACGAGATTCTCCCCGCTCAAAGGCTCTCGAAATCTCTGTCTAACAGACTGATATCAGACCGTTATTTTATTTTTGGGGTACTATTCTCTCATCCAAGACAATCCCTCTTAGAAAATTTTCCTTATCTTCCTTCTGGCTGAGTACGTGAGCTGATGTTTCATACTTGGTCTTCTAATCTGTCCTACCCTAATTTATTTCTCCTTTAGGATGGTAACTTTGAGCTCCATATTACATACACTACATACACATTACATACACTTCCTTGAGCTACATATTACATACACATCCCCTTCACGTGGTCCCCACCACAAATGTTAAGTCTCCTGTCCTTGCAAGGTCTGGGGTTGGTCTCTCCGCTTGCTGAGCCTGAAATGTTATAGAGGTGGTGTTTTTATCATTCTTATCCTATTTCTTATCTATGCAACTTCCAAAAAATGGGGATTGTAATTGTGAAGTGTTCATTCTAGCAATGTCTGAGCACTCTCACAGAGCCACTGCTCTCTTGCATGCTCTAGCTCTGAATGTTAGAGGTGGTACCCCTATCATTCTTGGCTCATCCTACCCAAAACCCATCCCTTTCCATTCTTTAAAAGTGATAAATAAAGTTTGTTAATGAGACAGAAGGATAACATATTTAAAAGTTAGACAGAGACAGAGAGAGATTACAAAATATAAACATAGTCATAAAGTAAATAAATATAGTTAATAAAAATATAAATATATTACTTAACTTAATTTTAATTAATGTTATCAGGAAAATGAAAACAAATTTACCTTAACAGCTATTTCAGGAAGATAATGTGGATTTCTTAATCTAGTTGTAATGTAGAATCTAAAATCTTGATGGTATTCTAACAAATTTTCTCCAACTTTCAGGTAGTTGATACCTCCTTGTTTGAACAAGTTCTTCAGTAAAATAGGTTCTGAAAATAAGCAAATGTAATATAATTGCATATTATTTACAATATATTGCATGAATAAAAATTTGCTCAATTTGCTATTTGGCCTAGACTTGAACCATAGAAACAGTAAATTTTAATTAAATTCATGGTAAAGTAATTCATGGTGTCCAGTGATCATGCAAGAAAATATCCAAGCATATCAAGGATTTGAAGGCGATGAACTTTTAAATTTAAAGCACTTTTCATCAATTTATTAGATTAAATTCAAAACATAATCGAAATACAATTAAATAAACGAAATTGGCTTACATAATTACTTATAGTACATCTTTTTGGCAATCAAATGTTAAGATTAATTTTTAATGTTTTGTTATTTTTTTTATACTTGCATATTTGTATTGTGCATCATGTTTGATATTATTATTTGAGATTTATATTATAGTTGAAGGAGGCCTGGTTAACCAGTAGACTACCTTACACCAGCAGGTAAAAATAATTTAAAAGTGTTTTTGTATAACCTTATTGAAATAAAACAGCGTTGTCTGTTAAAAAAAAGAGTTTCGAACTGAATTTAATACATAAAATTTCTTAACTTAAAAACCACATACATTAAAGCTAAAGATGCAAACAGCAAATCCCACTTCTTATGGAGTCAAATTGAAATAGACTATTAAAATGAAAGTTAGAATCAGGAGAAATCATTCTCTGAAAATTGGACCAACAAAAGGTAGAGTGTAAACAGCTTCAACATATTAATCTGGGAGCTAACAATTTGTAAATAACAAGTTAAAAGTTAATTTTAAATGATGTTTTTGGCAGGAATAGTAAATATTCCTCCGCTTGTATATCGGGGAACTAGGTTATTTACACTCGTGAATATTAAAACACAACCCCGGCACTGGATATAGACTTTTTTGAGGGTGTTTAACTGTTGTTGGAAATTCGGGAAACTAATACTTTTGTGACACTGAGTGAGAAGAAACAATAAGAATACATATATGAAATGTGGGACTTAGTAAACACACTTGGGGGATGTCTACTACAAATTGTTTTATTACCTTATAAGCAGCAGAAGGTTTTATTAGGGGATATAGAAGATCTCATCATTCAATTAAAAAAAAAACCTGTCTGGCAGTTTCTCATGACAGCATTGACCTGTACAATTTTTCCAAAGTTTAAAATAATTAACTAAAATTAAAACATAAACGACACACTTGGGAAATTGTTTAAATCAATCTTAAGACTTCCCAGAAGATTCTAGCATAAAATCTGACAAAATATTATGTTGAATTTGAAGAAGGATGAGAAATTTTAGCATGAATATGTTTTACTAATAAAGATGTTCAGAAAATAATGCACAGACAAAATGGTTTTGGTCTTTTAAAATTTTTGTCGATATTTCCTCATAAGTATCTTGCTAGGAAAATAGTTTATATCAATCTTTAAACTGCCCAGAAGATAACTAAAATTGTCTTAATATAACACACAGTTATTATGGCAGTTGGGAATGAAGATTTACTGACAGTTCTTAATGAAGAAACAAAAACATCTTTAAATAGTATTATTCTAATTTTAGATTCCTGAATGAGGAAAGTTTATAAACTCTAGAAGAAAAATTTCGGCCAGGACAAGAAATTGCCTATCCTGGAAAATGAAATAAGGTCCTTCAAAATGGAAAGAAAAAGACAATAATAACCTTTGAGATTTACTTTATATGTAAAACAAGAATGTTTCTTTAAGTCATTTTGGTCTGTCAAGAAGTGCACATACAATTATCTTAACATGCTATAAACATAAACATAAAATGCCAAAACCAAGACCAAATTTTGTATCGCTTAACAATAATTGTATTAAACACGCAATATGAAAAAAAAAAATTCCTATGAAAATAAGAATATCAAAATAAGCTATGATAGATTACGAAAAGATAAAGAGGAAGGTACAAATTTTTTTTATTTATACTTGAAGGCTACAGATAAAATATCTTAATATCTTGCCAATGAATGGCGACAAAAAAAAAAAAAAAAAAAATGAATAATCCAAGGAATTACAGAAAAATACAAAAAACAGAAGAAAAATTAAAGAAATTTCCGATCCAACCATGATCCAGCTTCTTGAGTGGTCCATCTTCAGAAAGTAACTTCTGACCTAAAAATCTTCATCAGCTATCAAATGTATCACAACGGCTCCTAGACTGTCCAGAAAATAATTTTGGTATAATTTATAGGAATAAAAGAAATAAGAATTTTTATAATTTATACAACGAATATACATTTCTTATGTTTAAAAAAGAAATAATGTGCTTACAGGAAATATTTATTCTTAATGACAATAAATTCTGCTTCATAGCTATTTTAGAGACTACCTAATATTTAATTTGAATGCAATTAAACAGAAAACTGAAGGTAGATACAGTGGAGATTTATTAACTTTAGTTAAAAAATTACCAAACATGAAGGCTATTTTTCATCATCATCATATGTGGCACGACATCCCGTTACTGAGACTGGGCCTCCTCCAAGAGCCTCCGCCAGGACCTAGGAGTAACCTTTGATCAGAATCTCTCCTGGAATAACTATATCTCTCAGATTAGTTGAAAATCCATAATTGTCCTTAAAAAACTCCCAAGATCCGAAGTCAGGTTTACTCCCATCAGCATGATCATCATCATATGTGGCGCGACATCCCGTTACCGAGACTGGGCCTCCTCCAAGAGCCTCCACCAGTTGGCTCTGTCTTCTGTTGCAGCTCTCTTTGTGGCTTAAAAGAGTTCCGTTCGTGTATTTGCCGAATGCCGTCACTCTGGACCTGAAAGCTGCCCTACCCTCGTTTATTCTCTGAAAGAACAGCCGATTTTCATTTTGGCCGCACAATGCCTCTGTGTCCTCCATGTTCTTATTTTCCCAAGCTCTTCTCTTTCGACGGAATAATCTCTTCTCTTCGCGTCTTTTTCTTCGATATTTTTCTTGGGAGAGCCTTGTGGGACGCTGAACCTTCTTTCTGTAGGCTTCATTTTTCACTTTTACTGCTTGAAGGCACTCAGCATCAAACCATGGGGGCCTTCTAGATTTAGTCTCGTAGCCAAGAGATTCTTCTGCTGCCTGTTTCATTGCGTTGCTGCATCTCTTCCACTGTTCATCGACCATAGAGCTGTCATTAATTACTTCTTCATTAAGTTTCGTCTCCACAGTTTGTTGATACGAATATTGGTGGTCTGAGTCCTTAAGTTTAGCTACATCAATCTTCTTCTTTGGTCGTTGGTGGTGGTTTTTAATCAGCGAAATTCGTGATCTGACCTCGGCAATGCTCAAATAGTGATCCATGTCCATATTTGCACCTCTATAAGATCTTGCATTTATCATGTTGGACTCGTGAGGGGCACTAATGAGTACATGGTCTATCTGTGATGTTTGCTCATTTGGAGAGATCCATGTTGCTTTGTGGATATTCTTTAGAGGAAAAAGAGTTGTTCCAACAACCAGTCCGTGCAATGTAGCAAAGTTTACCATCCGTAGCCCATTATCATTACTGGTCTCATGCAAGCTGTGGGTTCCTATGGTCGGCATGAGTGCCACCTCCTTACCAACTTGGGTGTTAAAGTCACCAAGAATGATTTTAACATCATTTTTGGGGCAGCTTTCTGTCACGCGTCCAAGTTCTTCATAAAATGTTTCCTTATCCTCCTCAGGTGAAACCTCTGTTGGGGCATGGCAATTAATTAGAGAGAAATTAAAAAAATTTCCTCTAAGCCGAATGTAGCATAACCTTTGGTTAATGGGAGTAAATCGCATCACTAGTTGTCGAGCTCTGCCTCTCACAACAAATCCGGTACTGAAGATGTGATGCTTTTCATGGCAGCTATAGTAGAGTGTACGGTACTTCTTCTCCATAATTCCCTGTCCTATCCATCGGACCTCTTGGATAGCTGCTATGTCGATTCTGTATGTGTCCACTTCTGCAAGGAGCGCACAAAGTGCTCCTAGTCTATGTAATGATAAAATGTTCCAAAATCCAATTCTTAGGTCATTTAGGCGTTTCCTGGGTCTGTTACCGTAATTCAGTCCGGCTTCTTCTCTTTGAGGTTTCGTAATAAGGTACTTTAGGGAGGGTGGGTTATCAGCCCACTGGGCCCGAGTCAGGTAGAGGAACTGCCTCCTCCGAGCCTCCTTACTAGCTCCCCCATCCGGGGCGGCTACCTAGGGAAGGTGAACCTAGGGTGTGTATTGTAGGTGACCTTTGTCTGTAATGTTTAAGTGTTGTAGTGTGCTGTATAAAGTGTACTTGGTGTGTGAGTGTTCGTGTAAGTGTTCCCACAACCTGGAGGGCCAGTGGCTGGTTGCGGTACAATGACCGGGCGATGGGACCGCCACCTCCCTACGCCAAGGCTATTTTTAGGAATAGAAATAAATAATATAAAACTATAATATAATAATAGGCAACATTAAATTCAACCAAACTTCCTTTTTGATGAATTATTGAGGAAAATAAAAGTTGTTCATTCTCCTAAACTTGGTAACCTTCCAGATCCCCTATCGCAGCCTATCCTGTATCCTCCGATGATTTAAACTCTTATTTTATATCTGTCGCTAATACCTTCCTCTTCTGGCTTTGTTCCAGAGATATCCTTTAACGACAATAACTTTTATTTTTCCGACATTTCTCCCACAGACCTGTTAACCGCGGTAACGAAATCCCACACCAATTCCATAGGGTCAGACGGCATTCCTGTCAAATTAATAAAAATATGTCTACCTGAAATCCTCCCAGCTCTCCTTTTTATCTACAATTTCTCCCTTCAGAATTCAGTTCCTTACCTCTTGGAAAAAAGCCATTGTCCTTCCTTTAAATAAAAAGCCTAATCCATCCTCACCCGAAGATTTCCGTCCAATTTCAATTCTTTCTAACCTCTCAAAGCCTCTTGAAAGACTGGTGCAATCCCAAGTCTCCAAGTTCCTCGAAAAGTCCAACCAATTTGATCCTCTCCAATCTGGTTTCCGTCCCGGCTATTCCACACAATCTGC